ACAACAAGTCTGTCCGCATGCGTATGACAGTTTCGCGAATTAGAAAACAATATTACACGTAAATAAAATTATAATACGTCCTCTGTCGTAATTAATAACTGAACGATGAATCGGTCCAAGTGTAAAAAGTAGTTTGTCGAACCACCAGGGAAAATGTTCGCGTCGTCGTACTTTTATGCACCGACACACCCGACCGTTGAGGACCAAGTTGAACTCGCTCGGCGAATTTCACATTCGTTGAGCGACGTGAAAAACATGAAAAGCAAAGGCCAGTCTATGTACGTGAATAGAAAGAAACGATCGGTCAAGTGGATCCACGATGGCAACGGTGAGTATAGACGTATGTGATGCGTATGCAATGCAATTTATAAGTATATAGCCAGGTATATAGCCAGAGACACAGACATTATTCGACACGTAGATGCATCGACATGTATACGTGACATGTTGCAAATATTTATAAACAGACTTGACATAATTTATCGCAATTGATTCTTCGCTTTACGAATATCTGTCCCAATTATTCGAATTGCTGTATTACAGGTGTAGAAGATGCAGAAGAATCTTTAACACCTGTTCATAGAGTAAGTGTGCTGTGTGCTTCAATGTTGCAGTCCGTACATTTATGTGCAATGTGTGTATATTACATGTACATGCATACATGCATACATACATATGTGCTACTTTGATAGATGTATCGATTCAATTCGAATCATGTACATAATTCGCTTTGCTTTCGTTAGTGATACTCGATATAATACCACGCGTATAATGTTTCAATTGATTAAATTGGCCGGCTCGTATAATAATATTCTGACCAATGAATTGAACAATGTACATGCGATTCGTCTATAAATTTTAAACAATCTAAAAATACAAGATCGAAACTTCATCGACGAGACCTGTATATCGTGAGTTAATTTTTTTGACAGAAACATTTTAATCTTTTTATTCAGATTAGACCCCCATTATAGCATTGATAAATTTTGGTATCGTCTCACGTGCAAATTCTAAAAACGACAGAGTAAATATTGTCACGTTTGTACAAGTAGTGCAAGGTTTGTAGAATTTATTAAATCGTGAACGAGCGAGTATTACAAATTGGAAAACTCACACCGGATTTCATTAAATTAACAGGCCTGATTATTTAAAAATGACAGGCCAGAATATTTTCTTATCTTCTTTCCTTCTCGCGTTCAGTTTTCAGTTCTCATCTAGATATATCTAGAAACTTGAAGAATGCTTGTTGCTAGATACAATTTCATACATCTATCAAAACGAAGCTAGTAACAATAACTGTACACATATGTATAACCAAAAGGAGTTTAGATACTGACGTTTTCCTTCTAATTGTAATAACAAATTGTAATAATAACTTGCATTGTACAACGCAGTCGTGTTTTCATCGAAACACGTTGTTTTCATAGGATAAGATCCCTCTGAAGTGCATGATGAATCCACATGGGAAAGTGTTGGATATACACGGTATTCAAGCTCTGGGTGAAGAAGTAAATATCGAGCCGATGCCGAAGAATCCGGAGAAACTGTTCGACATTGTTCGTGATTTGAACAATCAAAGAGGCCGTGGTAATGACGAGTATATCTACTTTCTACTTGCACGTTTACTGACAGTCGCGAAATTCGCGTCGGGAATATTCTCGAGGAAATAATCATCGGTTCGATTTATAGGCGCGGAGATATTTGCGAAACGCAGGAAAAGATCGGAAAAGTGGGTCGTGGACAAGGATCAACAGCCACAGACGCCAACTACGGCACCTGGTATGCCAAAAACGCCAACGTATCCGGGGAAATCGGTAAGATTTTTTTTACCACGACGGTCACAGATACCAATAATAGCCATGTCATTCAAAGTAGTAGTTGAAAATAATAATCGTTAATCGTTGAACACGTGGAATTCACACGTGTATTGCTCGATGCGTTGTCCAATACAGGAAATGAATGGCAGTTCCAAGTTCTCAACTGCAGCTTCTATCACGCGTGTCGTACCTGAACCACCGTCGGCGGCTATTGAAAAATCATTCTACAATCCTTTCACCGTGGACTTGTCTCTGAACGATACAAATCCACCTGCAACAAAAGGTACGTACGAATTCCGGGGGAAAAATTCGAACAAAGCCGAATGTTCTTTCTTTATGCGACGTCCTGCGTAATCTAGTTGGCACGTACGTCGTCTAATTGGCAACGATCCACGCTGTATTCTCGTATTTATTTTCTCGTTCTATCTCGAATTGTTTTCACATCGCGACCAAACGGCTAGCAATCCCCAAGGATTCAAAGCGCCCGGCTTCAGCACCGCCCTTCATATTTATTTCTGGTCGATCTGAGCTATTCTACTCTTCTTCGAATCTGTTTTCACTTTCGCATAGATTCACTACGTGTCTAATTCTATCGGCAAAATGACGAAATAATCGACTCGAAACGCGCTTGCTATACGCGCGCGCGTGTGCGTGTACGTGTGCGTGAAAAAATAAGTCGGCGAGTAGTTAGCAGAGACGTTTAAGAGCCTGTTTAAGATTCGTCTGCTCTTGTGCAAGTGAACGGGGTTCAACAACCCAGATGGCGATTCGATTGGCAAACGACATCGAATGTTATTCAATCGATGCGAGACCACTGTCGGTCGGCGCGTCGGATTCTTTTTCTTCCTATATCTAAAATAAACGACTGTCTGTACATTGTTGCCATAATAAAACCGATATCTTCGCATCGATCTCGAAAGTTAATTATATTGCGCGAGTGATTGAACCGATTACATTGCCCGTCACATTCGATTCAATTATCGCGTTGAAACTAACTAACATTCGACGTTCTCCAAACACGAGTTGAATACATTCGCACGTCGAACAATTCGACATGAGAAAGAAAGAAAACGAAAGAGAACGAAATTTCAGAATTCGTGCATTAGGAGATGCTAGAATGCAGGATAATCTCTCTTTAATAATATTAATTATCGTCGTCGGTCGTCATCAAAACAAATGAAAATTAAGCGAAAGCATGTATTCCTTTGACACTGAAAAATCTGAAAGAGATGCATTTTGCATTTTTTTTTCTTTTTAATCGTCAGAGTTTCCTCCTTCTTGCAAACCTTCTTCCAGGACGAAATCAGTATCGATGTAACGGTAGAGAGTGCAACCATCCGACCGAGGTGAAAAGAATTTATCTGAGAGAAGTAGCCGTCGGCACAGATAACGATTTGCTGCCTCTTGATCAGAAATCTCGATCGTCGATCGTTGAGAAATCACGTCGAATCACGTTCGAGCCCGATATCGAACGGCATAACAGCTATCATCCAGCCAACAGAAATAACATCAATGAGAACGTGGCAACGTCGATCATTACTAACAGACGCAGTCACAATTATAACAAAGCTTCGCTGAATAGATCGCTGAATTTTTCTAACGCACAGCACGCTACTACTAACAAAGAGATTCGAAATTATGCGAAAGAAGAACAACGGGTGGCAGAGAACGGCAGTTGCTCGGCAAAGAGCGCGATCGGCAACGATCAGAGCAAAATATTTCTAAACAATCGGCAAGATATCGACAACGAGGAGAACGACTACACGCCGATCCCAGTCAAACAATTGATACAAGAATTCGAGAAAACGTGCAGGCCCGTCCTGCAGTACAAACAATTCAGCCCAAAGGTTATTCCGATCATGCAACGACAATCACCCCTCGACAATGACATATCGCGATTCTTTGAAAGGCAAAATTCCGTCAACAAGTACAAGTACGCCGAGGAGGATGAGCACAGGAGGTGAGACGAAACGAAGTTTATCAATCCTAGAAAGAAATCCCGATCGATCATTTCCATCGGTTGAATGAATGAATGAAATCCCGCGACCGATTAATCGAATCGTCGCAAATTTTTCCTTAATCCGCCACACTTTTTCCTTATCCTCTCATCTTTCTCTCAGAGCTATCTTTTGCTTCTCGAGTCGCGCGTTTTACTACATTCATTTGTACATACACGCGAGTAAATGTACACGAGTACGTGTACATACTGAATTGAATTTATAGTATAATTTCGTAGAATTTAGTATAGCCATTTTCGAATCTGTTCGAAAAGAAAGAAACACTCTGAACAAAGTTACCGAGGGCGAGCTGCACAGATCGCGGTATTGCTGTTGCCTGTTGCGACGCAGATCGAGCGACAGAGGATTTCAATTTGATTTGATTCATTTCGCTTGATTGCAATGCAGAATGGCCGAGCGACAAAGATACGAGGAACTGGCGAAACTGCAGGATCGCTGTAACAATGGTTACAGCGTGTCGACCGATGACACGGAATACACGACCGACGACGGAAGCGATTCCGAGACGAACGATTACAGCGAGGAGATTATCTACCGGGAGAAGTCGGAATCCTCCAGCATAATGAACGGCGATCAAGACTATTGTTCGTCGATTTACCGGGATGAATGTTCCAGCCGACGTCGGTCCGTCACTTCCGAGGAAGTGGAGAACTTTTGCAACGGCAGTGGCAAATTCACGAATACGGAGTCGCACGTGCCTGTGGAGGCCAAGTCGTTGTTACTATCGATGATAGCTTCCCAAGAAGATATCTTGCAAACAATCAAGCATTTGCGTAACACGCCTGTTTTGGGCAACCTGTTGGGCAACGGTGTAAACTCGCCGGACTGTGAATTCACTGTCGACGCAAGTCCCGATGTAGGCAAGTTAACTCGCATGCGCTTCTATTTCTTTCTTCTTTTTTCCTTTCCTTCTCTTTACATTCTTAATTATGCTTACGCGTATCTAATCTCTCGCTCTTCTAATCCAAAACCCGTGAATTCCCCGATCGTGACGAAGATTTCAAGCGACCATCACAATTGTCCCGAATGGTGGTCATATTCGAAGGGGAAAGTTCAAATCTTTTTTATCTCTCTTCATTTTACACTTTACTTCTTCTCTTAGAAACGGCGAGAAGAAGAAACGTTTGTGAAAACGTTTCCCTCCCTCTTCAACATACACTTGTATAATTCTTTCTTCTTCTCCCCCAATACATCTCCCATGTTTTCTTTTTTTTTTT